ACCTGAGTAGAATCCCAGGGTATTCTAGATTGAGCTTCAGCTGCCTGCCCTTCCTGGAGCTGTTGATTGAGATCTTCTTGCCCCAAGGTAGCAGAAGAAGGCGTCAGTTCCATCCCTTTGGGGGCCTGGGAGAAAGGGCCTGAGGTCCTGGGGTGAAAATGATCTTCCTCTGGAGTCTTAGTCCCACTTGGAGCTGCTGTTTGCGGAAAGGAGGCTGAGGATGGCATTTCTCCTTGTTTTGCAGCCAATTCGGTTGCTCCCACAGTAGCATCCTTAACTACTTCCTGGGGAGCCTCAAACTCTGCCCCAAACCCTGTAGCTGGCAGCATCGTGCCCATTGCCTCTGAGAAATCCTGGTCCCTCAGGGTTGCTGTACTTGGGCTGATTGAGAACTGTGACAGGCTTGGTTCTATGCTGCTGTCCACCTCCACACCTGATGACGCCTGGTCCCCAGAATCTTCTTGCCTCTGTTTAGTGGGCCCTGGACTCTGGCTAGTGCTGCTGGGAGAAAAGTCATGGACCTGAGATTTGGTCTCTTCCTGGGATCTGTTGACAGGGAGCAGCTCCTCTTCTTCCTCTGCCTCTTCCTTTTCCTCTTCATCTTCTTCCTCCTCCTCTTCAGGAGGCATATGCCAGGGTGGCTCAACCAGATTCATCTTGGGCAAGGGTGAAGGGGGGCTTGGCACCTCTTGAGCCTGGCTTATGTCTTCTATAGGACCTGCCTTCTCGGTTAAGTCAGGAAAAACATAGTCTAAGGACAGAGATGAAAATTTCATTTACTAGTTTCATTGTTCATTGATTATTCAGTATTTACTGAACAGCCAATATAAAAGAACCAGAAGACGCTCACAGGGAACAGTAGGGAGCATGTTGGAAAGAGAATGAAGAGGAGGGAGGGGCAAGGTATGGAGGAACACAAGAGCCAAGCTATTCGTTGTTTCCTTTATAACAAAAAAACATATATAAAATCTTCACTCAAATTTAGTGTATACAAGAATGCATGAAACAGAAGGTAAAGATTTCATCTCCACGGGTATTTTAAATTTTTAAAATCTCCTCGGGTATTTAAAATTTTTCTGGTTATTACTGAGACTACACAGCAAAACAAAAATCCAAACCCATAGCCATCGTGTCCCGTCTGACTCATAACAACCTTATACGGGGCTTCTAAAGCTGTAAATCTTTACAGGAGCCTCCTCTTTATCCCTTGCAATGGCTGATAGGTTTGAAACATTGACTTTGCAGTTAATAGCCCAATGCTTCCCTGGCAGGGCCACCGGTGGCTCCACACACAGCCAACCGTACATTAATTCAACAGTTTCTACATGTAACATTCAGTGACAATGATTATATCCTTCCAGTTATCTAACCACTCTCCTTTTCTGAGTTGTTCTCCCCCATTAACATAAACTCACTGGCCCCAAGGTTCCTATCTAATCTTCAAAATTACAATAGTCTATTTGAGCCCATATAGCAGTTCTTAAAAGGGCACAATGCTTGAGGCAGACTATTTTTACTCGGTAAGCTCAAGTTTGAGTGTTTGGTTTGGTTTTAAGACTTCCTCTACTGTTTTCATGATGTGTTTGTATTTTGTCTATGTGTATGTCCTGTATCATATATAATTCTAAAACATAAATTAGGATTACTTACTCAACGGTATATAATTTTCAGTTTTCTATGGTTAGGAGCCCTGGGGGCGTAGTAGTTACGAGTTTGGCTGCTAACCCTAACAACAGGGTGAGCAGTTTGAAACCAGCAGTCACCCCACGGGAGAAAGACGTGGCTTTCGACTCCTGGAAAGAGTTACAGTCCTGGAAACTCTCAGGGGCAGTTCTACCCTGTCCTAGAGAGCTGCTGAGTCAGCACTGACTGGGTGGCAGGGAGTTTGAGTTTGTGTTTATGGTTTGTATATAGAGGCGTAACACAAACTTCTCTTCATTACAGCTCTTTTCCTGACTCCATAAATATGCTCACTTCCAAATAGTCGATTCTTGGCTGATAATTCCTACACTTCTTTCTTAAAAGTTGACTTATTCCAAAAACTTTATGTATAGTCTCTATGCTAAAGGCGCCTAATTTTATATCTCCTACCAAATCTTTTCACCTTTTTCTAACCTCTCATTTCCAACTACTTCCTTACTACTTCATCCTGATGATACACTCAACTGAGCCCATTGGCACTCAGAACCACAGTCCTTTCCAATTTATTTACTATTAGTATCAAAAACTATTCTTTTTCTTTTTACAGATTGCTCTCAGTTCTACTAATCAACCACATGGCCTTAAAGAAGTAACTTAACCTTTATGTGTTTCAGTACTCTTATCTGTAAAAAAGCTATACTAATAATAAGTCAATGTCTTTAATTTAATTATCTAATTATATTTATTTAAAATTTATTTAATAATTTTATTATTTATTATTCAGGGTTTATCCATGAAACACCTCATGACTTGGAGGGACCTGGAAACCAATCATAAATGGGCAGCTATTACATGAGCCCACTATTCTAAGGATAAACATCAAGGTGAAGCCAGGCTGCTGCTCCCAGGCCATGGAATCTTCTAATCTGGTTTCCCAAGCAACAAGCTGGAGGGCCCTGTCAAGCATCCATAAACCATATCTATATGTAGCCCTAACAAAACACTTCTTCAGAGAAGGCCTCATCTATGCACGGTCCGTTTTTCCAAGATGCAGGGGAGGGAGAAGACCACTCAGTTGCTGCCATACAACAGTGTGCTAAGCTCACCCCAAATCAACAGTTACTATTACCAGAGTGATAAGCAAACCTCACTGGAAATTCAAGTCAAGATGCGGGGAGAGGTATACATGTCTCTGAGAAGGTGACTACATTTCTGTTGGTGAGTAAATGGGAAGGAGCAACCTCCTATTAGGGAAAAACAGTTAACAACACTTACATAGAACCCAAGGGAAGAATAAGCCTGGTCCTGTGTTCTTAATTGGACTCTTCTGACCTAGTATCTATCCAGCCCTCGGTGATGCAGGCCATGTGCTATAGACTACTGGGACTTAGAGACTGCTTTTTTGAGGCACACAGCAATCTTCATAGCCCACATCAAAAAGGACTCAATGGGGAAACCCAAATGGGTGAACTGGGTTTTACCTCAAACTCCTGTGTCCCTTGGACATAAGGATGAAACTCCCTAGTGTGAGAAGCAGCAGATGACTGGCATCCCAAGACTATACTTGGTTCGGATCTCTTGCCTAGAGAGTGCCCGGTAAATGGTGCCCTAGAACTACCATATATTTACTAATTTAATGCTCCCCTTGGTTTATTATGTGGGAGAATGATGAAGCTTTCTATTTCCATAATGAGTTACAGCCTTGGAAACCTACAGGGGCAGTTATACCCTGTCTTATAGGGTCACTATGAGTCAGAAATGACTCTATGGCGGTCAGTTAATGAGTTGCTCTATTACAAAGGAGCCCTGGGAACCAGTGGAGAGGTCTGAGGGGCCGGCCCCAATCCCAACTATGTGGACACCTGCCCCTCCCCCCAGAAGAATTTATTTCAGAGGAC